GGCCAGGCTGAGTCCCATGCCTTTGCCCAGGAGGAGGCCTGGAGAAGGATCAGGCAGTTCTTCCTGGATAATCTAGGAGCAGCAGGATGTAGACAGAGCAAGCTTTAGGTGCAGCTATTTTGAAGAGTACAGATGTTCTCACTGTTATTATGTGTGGTGTGAATTGTTTTTCCTGTATCATGTTACGTAGCTTACACCAAATTGATCCATACGTTTTAAGTAATTAGTGACTATTAAATTGGTTCATGATGTCCTGCTGTTTGGTGTTTGGATGTATCAATATATCAGCAATGTGATATGATCTTGAAATATTAAACATAAAAACTTCAATTCAGATGTACTTGAACTTTGTGGCTTTTGTAAACATGTAAGACAAATAAAATTCAATTTTAACTAAACTGTTGAATAAATTACTCTATTTTTATACATTGAATGTATTAAAACCTGAAATAATGAAATACGCCACATCACTGTTTGTTGAGGAGTCTTTAAAAAGTAATGATGTTCTTTTCTGGTCCTTGTGGGCAGGAGTTCGACAGGCAGGTTTTAGTGTCATTTTTAATGGGTAAACACTTGGAAACAGTGGAATTATAGAACAATTAAGTACAATCAATTCAAATGCAGTGATTCAGGGCCCAGGGAAAACCAGGAGATACTGAGGCCATGCAGGACCAGGAGTGAACATGACAATGCATCGGGAGGATGTGAACCTACATGAATGGAGCAACAAAAACTTGTCCAGGAATATTTTGGACCTCCTGATTCACCTACACCTATTCTTTCTGTAATACCACATGCAGTACACGAGTTTGCTACAGTGATCATACGTTTTTAATATTTGGTTCAGTGGTAGTATGATCTACATGAAGTGCCACAATTCTAACTTTTTAAATAGTTTCTTCTATAATCCCACATCACACTCAAGAAATATCCACACCACACCAGTGGGTCAGGTCTCACAATTAGGAAAGCCTGTTCACATACACGGGCATCGAAATATTATAACATGACAGCCTAGAGTCCGGTCTCAGTACTGCACCTTGAGTGGACCCAGTTCCTCACACTCTACATGATGCCCATGGGTCATTACAGCAGATGTCCCCCACCATTATAAACTGCTGTTACTGTACCTGCTTAACAGCCGGATTAGACCTGTTGCATTTGGCACCACATTGATTAAATGTTAAACGCTAAAGAATAACACCCTGTAATTTTCAATAAATACTGTATGGTAAGGAATTGCCTATGATATAACCTTCAAGTATGGAAAAATGCAAAGAAGCCAGGAATTCATTTAGAAAATAGAACTACTTTTTGGATTTACTTAAAACGTTATACTTACCTTTTTATTGTGGAATGTTTGAAAATTAGATTTTTTTCCAGTTGCAAATTGTTTTTGTTTTCAAACTCCAGACTCTTGTCTCTCCCCTCTCTCCTCTTCTTCTTCTTGTTTCATTTTGTGATCTTATGTTGTGTGTTTCTGTACTGCTCATTAACACTCATTAACCTACACCTTACATAGGTACGGTATACCAAGGTAAGCTTTACAGTGGTTTCTGATCAAGGGACCCCCCAGATCTCAACAAAAATCCTCTCTGCTTTGAAGCTAGAAGTGTTCACTCTGCCAAGTGTCACAGTCTTTATCTAAAATCTTAAGAGACCCTTCTCCTTCACCTAAAGCTGTAACAATTTCTTCAAGTGTCCTTTATGGGCCCAACACTACCACCTGCTATACTTCTGAATACCAGAAGAGGGAGGTATTTTCAAATATATCGTTTCTTGGTCAATGCGAATACAAATATTTTGTGCCACAATACTGCCTCTTGCCTGTTTATATATAGTAGAAAATGTACTGCATGTGATCTGATCCTTAAAAGTGGTTTAAAATCACGTTCACATTTGATTGTTTTTCCTTTGCAAACTTTTGCTGGCTGGGATGTTTGGATTTATTGCATCATCCATCATTCACAAGCTTTGTACAGTATGTAACTAAAAGTCCAAACAGATTTGGACTAGATATCTAGCATTTTGCTTAGTTAACAGCGTCACATTTATCCCGAAAAACGCCGTTCCGCTAATCTGTTAGAATCTGGTAAATAAAAGTAAATGCCTATACAACAACAGCGCTTGATACTTAACAGAAATGATTTCTCCTATTTTATGAAAAATATGATTTGTACAAATAAATTAAATTTCTCAAAACAACACGATTTCCTTAAGCAGAAGGGGTGTAGACTTCCAGATAAGACAAACCGCTGCTATTTATTTCTTTTGGACAGATGCCATGCTAGACGTTTATGACGTACACAGTTGTAAATTAAAAAAAATACAATACAGCCAAACTCTTTACTGACTTTTCCCGAAAAATAAACTTTTCCATGTACCGTTTCGACACTTCGTCTTTGTGTGCTTTCCGTATTTGTATTTTAAATTTTCCATTATTGATTTGTTAGTCAAATTTAGCAGGCTAAAGGAATGTTTTTTATCAGTACAAAGTTCAAAGTCAGTGAACGATGTTGCTGCTTTTCAGCCACCTAAGAACGGGGGTCTCGGCAGGAAAGTCGGCTGTTTTCTGTTTCCATTGGGCCTGGAAGCGTTTTTTGCACGTCGGTACAAGAGTGACCATGAGTCCGGTCAGAGTTCAGGTGGAGCCCGACTCGAAGTGCCTGTTTGACAGACCCGTGACGGTGAAAGTGGAGGGGTTGTCTCCTCACCAGCCTGTCGCTCTCCGGGCGACTCTGACGGGCGACAAGGGCGACGTGTTTGCCTCGGTCGCCCGCTACCAGGCGGACGAGAGGGGTCTGATAGACCTGTCCCAGTCCGCGTCTCTCGGGGGTGATTACACCGGGGTGCAGCCCATGGGCTTCCTCTGGGCCCTGAAGCCCCTCAAGCCCCTGAGGAGACTAATGAAAAGAGACATGGCCACCCCGTTCACAGTGCACATCGCCGTCCACGGTCAGGCTGCAGGGAGTGTGGAGAGCTCCGCCCCTCCGCTGGCCTCCTGCCTTCATGAGCGGAGCTTCCTCGGGGGAGGAGTGAAGAGGATACCGGTGAGAGAAGGACGGATCCGGGGGACGGTCTTTCTGCCCCCTGGTGAGTGTTTCTTAAGGGATAAAACAAAGTGAAAATAAAAAATTAAAATGACTTGAATGGCGTTAAAGTTTTGTAAAAGATAATAGTGTAACGACTACGCCCCCTGTGAATTAACTAGGGTGACCAGACGTCCTCTTTTTGAGACCTAAAATATCGGTCCGACTGCGATTTATAAAATTCCACAAATTGTCCGGGATTTTGTTTTGCTCGTTACTCAGACTGTGTAAACAAACACAGGCTTGCATATTTTCGTTCCTTCCATGCATTACCGGTAGATGTTTTGAATTTACATGCAGCGTAGCTTGAAAAGGGTTTGTGTGTGTGTGTGTTGCTGTTTTTATGGCCATGAGAAATAACGATGCTTAACTCGTTTCATTATATCTCAAAATGTTTCGTTAAAATTGATCATTTTTGCAACCAATGAGGACTTCTCCTAAGTTATGATGTCTTCATTTTTGGAAAATAAAAATTATTTAAGTTTAAAATAAGGCTATATTTCTGTTTTTTCCTTGTTTGCCATTATGGAAGAGAAATGGCAATCCTGGAACTGTTTAAAAGTTTACTAAGAAGTTTAAAAATAACTAGAGAGTTTAAATTGAATTTTTTTTATTAGAAAAAGTAATAAAGATTCATTACTTTGGGGTATTGTGTCGAGTGTCGAGTGTCGATTTTCCCCCGTCCTCTTTTTTGAAAACCAGAATATGGTCACCCTGCTTTAGCTCAGCCGACAAGGTCCTTGTTGTGTGACGCGGGTTCGAGCACCGGCGGTGCAGGACCGACTTGAGGTATGAGCGGCGAGGGCACATGCGCAGAGAACCCGTATCCGTTGAAATAGGGAGGTCTAGGACAGTGTATGTAAAATGCTGGTTTAAACTGCTCTTAGACTGCATAAAAAAGTGTGACCCACTGACAGAATGACAGAAATACAACTCATTTGTAGGAACAGACCTCAAGCTCCGGCTGCAGAAAAAAAACACTAGTTTTGCTGAATTCATCAGGTTTAACAAATTAAAATGTTTTCTAAGTTTAAAGTTAAGTCATTTTTCAACCACTTCATGGCTTGTTTCCTGAGTGGTACTGTATATCTGCAGTGGCCAGTGTATTCCCACATCATTATAAATCCTCCATACATAAGAAATCTGATAAGACCTATACTGTTTTTTTTCTTCACATTTTCTAATATCTAACAAATAAGCAAGTGTTATTACTTAGTTTAATTTAGTGTATGTGTACTGTAGGTGATTTAAGATACTTGAGATGAAATTATCTACAAGAACATATTATAATGTATGGTAATATTATTCTTATATTCTTTTTGTAAAAAATATAACAGCAGTGGTACTGCTATAGCAG